CACCCTCCTGCTGTCTGCCACAATGTAGTTTGCAGAGACCTTGATCGTACCACAGTTCCATGAACACCACATGATCCGCTGATGACATGCTTAGTGGAGCCAAGGAGCAGGGAGTAGCATGTACTTTAGATGTCTTAATGAGACATGCGCAAACCAGAAGGCTGGAGAGAAGCCTCCCAAAAATTCAGGGGTCCCTCGCCCCAGCAAAGGCTCTAAGGTCCAAGGATCTGGAGTGCGTGAAAACTATTCTCCTTTTGAGAAAGTTTCTGGCTTGTTACTGGGCCTTGTAGAATGTTGTATTAGTCCATTTCTGCTGCTTATAACAAAATACCTGAAACTGGGTGATTTATAAAGAAAATGGAATTTATTGCTTGCTTTCAGGAAGTGCAAAGTCCAGGGAACACATCTGGTAAAGGCTTTCTTTGGTGGTGACTTCAGTGACGGCAGAATATTACACTGTGAAAATGGCAGAGAGAGAGCAAGAGAGACCCTCCTCTCTTCTTCTTTTTAAGCCCTCAGAACCACGCCCCTGACCACCATTATTAATCCATTCACCAGGGTCCTACAATCCAATCACCTCTTCAAGGTTCTACCTTTCAATTACCATAATAGGATTTCCCACCCTCAACACTACAGTGGGGATTAAGCTTCTAATATATGAAACTTGGGGGACACAATTCAAGCTTCAGTGAGTTTTGGGAGGATGTAATTCAATCCACTACAAATGTGAACAGCTGAGGGACATTGTGCAGGCCAAGTGTCACACCATGAACTGGGAGCCGTCTGACCCAGCCAGCCACGAAGCTGGGCACACGCAGCAGCAATCCACCCTCAAGTGGAAGCAGATACAAGCGCATCAGCAGGAGGCTCGGGTTTCTTCACCACCACCTCCTGCCACACCACTGCTTCTCCGGGGTCTGTGCCTGGGCCTCCTGGGCTGTTCCTCGTGCCCGACTGACTGAGGAAGAGAAAACCGAGCCTGTTGCAGATGGGCCTGTGCAACGTGCTGGAACGCAGGGCGGCAGCATTCCAAGCCCATTCGGGGGTGAGCCTGAGAAGCGGCCCTGAAGGAGCATCCCCCGGTGGACAGAACTCCGAGTGGGACGTTTGCTTGTGCACCACGTGTGGAGTGACCGCCAGAGGAACAGATCTGTATTGATTCGTAGGTAGATGCTAAAGGTTTGACCGGATAGTCAGGAACTTGGAAAGAACAGTATAGAAAGACTGGTCACAAGGAAATCTAGGGAAGAGGCGTGTTCTTGGAGCTCTCAGAGTGGACCCAAATAATGGTGTCCTATGGGGACGCTCGCCAAAGGGCACCCCTGCGGAGAAGGCTCTCGATCTTAACAAGCAGGTGGACAAAATGGCATGCTCCATGGATGCCGGTCAACCTCATTCTCCAGACACCCCATGCCTGCTCAGTGGGCCCACAAAGTGGCCGCGGTGGCAGGGACGGAGGCTGTGCGCGGGCTCAGCAGAGTGGACGTCCCCCACCAGGGCTCACCTGCTACCGCTACTGCTGAGCGCCCAGCCACCAACGGCAGACACCAACACTGAACCCCCCACATGGCCCCATGACCTGGGGGCCGAGCCAGCCACCCGCCGCACAGCAGCCTGGTTAGTCTGGGCCCCTCCATCACGGGGACAGGGGTCTGAACTCACCGCGGTAGACTCTTGCTCTGGGTGTGGCCCTGCCCGGAGCTCCGGGCCTAGCCCGCAGGGTGGGGTCCCCACAGAAGGGCCGAGCGATGGGCTCGGGCGGGGACGCCTCG